GAATTTTGAATATTGTGGGCCAAATGGAACTTAAGTTATGCTTCGGAAACTGTTTTCAGTATTAAGGTAATAGTGACCTTGACCTTTGACCATGTGACCCCAAAATCAATAGGGGTCTTCTACCCAATATAGACAATCATCCTATGAAGTTTGAATATTGTGGGCCAAATGGAACTTAAGTTATGCTCCGGAAACAGTTTTCAGTATCAAGGTTATAGTGACTTTGACCTTGTGACCCCAAACTTAATAGAGGTCTTCTACCCAATATGGACAATCATCCTATGAAGTTTGAACATTGTGGGTCAAATGGAACTTAAGTTGTGCTCCGGAAACTGTTTTCAATTTAAAGGTAATAGTGACCTTGACCATGTGACCCCAAAATCAATAGGGGTCTTCTACCTAATATGGACAATCATCCTATGAAGTTTGAACATTGTGGGTCAAATGGAACTTAAGTTATGCTCCGGAAACTGTTTTCAGTATCAAGGTAATAGTGACCTTGACCTTTGACCTAGTGACCCCAAAATCAATAGGGGTCTTCTTCCCAATATGGACAATCATCCTATGAAGTTTGAACATTGTGGGTCAAATGGAACTTAAGTTATGCTCCGGAAACTGTTTTCAGTATCAAGTTAATAGTGACCTTGACCTTCGACCCCAAAATCAATAGGGGTCTTCTACCCAATATGGACAATCATCCTATGAAGTTTGAACATTGTGGGCCAAATGGAACTTAAGTTATGCTCCGGAAACCAAATTGCTAACGGACGGAAACTGTTTTCAGTTTTAAGGTAATAGTGACCTTGACCTTTGACCTTTTAACCCCAAAATCAATAGGGGTCTTCTACCCAATATGGACAATCATCCTATGAAGTTTGAACATTGTGGGCCAAATAGAATTTAAGTTATGCTCCGGAAACCAAATTGCTTACGGACGGAAAATTGCTAACGGACAGAAACTGTTTTCAGTTATAAGGTAATAGTGACCTTGACCTTTGACCTTTTGACCCCAAAATCAATAGGGGTCTTCTACCCAATATGGACAATCATCCTATGAAGTTTGAACATTGTGGGCCAAATAGAATTTAAGTTATGCTCTGGAAACCAAATTGCTAACGGACGGACGGACGCCAGGAGGTATAACATAATATGCCCTTTAGGGCATATAAAAATACAGGAAAATGTGTCATAAATTGCACATAACATGACAATTATTTCTTTTATCTTGAATCTTTTTACTTTTCTTAGAATCCTAGGACTTTTTTCTCTAAATTGATTTCTAGAAATATTTTGGTTTATCTGGAGGCATGCAGCTTTAACTGTCAATGTTAAATATGAAGTTTTAATTCAGTTTTGTACACACACAAAATATGTTTCATAAAAACCGTTTACTACAATGATCTCCTGGTGTGGGGGGCTATGACCTTGTGTAGTGGTAAATGTGTCAGCCTCTCAACCCAGGGATCATGTGTTTGAGCTCTACTCGAGTAACGGCCATGTTTCCTCATATGGCACCAGAACTTGTTCATTTCACAGACTTGAAATTGATCAGTATGAGTTGCAGGAACTTTTTTTTTCTGTAATTGAGCTGAGAAAGATAAGGTTAAACTAACTTCTGGAGTAGATCATTTGTTTTTCAAGCTTAAATCACATTTAGAGTTTAAAATGTGAAGTTATTATTCACATTCTGAACTTCACCTTTAACATCTATTTTGATATCCTAAGGCAGGATAATATCCTTGACATTTCACTTGACTTCCATTTAATTTCTTTTGGACTTATACGCATATGTATATCCATTAAGCTTATAATTCATTAAAAACATTTGTTACACTATCCAGCACCAGGAACAGTCAATCTTATTTCACTACTTTTTATCCTTTTTGTCCGCATCTTTACGGAAAACATTTGTTTTGGTGTGTAGTTATTATTTAAAACACTGGCACTGTGACAACAGCACCCTTGTTTTAAACATACTACCTTTATTTTATAGGCTTCAGGAGTACTAGCAAATAGTGAATGCAAGAAGGCATTTGAAAAGTTAAAGATGAGATCAGAGACGTCCCAGGATGGGGATGGGGAAGAAATTGGAAGATTTGTGATAATGAAACTGAATGGGAACAATTCAGAAATTATTGTAGAGTACAAATCTAAGCCTGGTATGTATGATGGTAATTTTGCTAAAAAAATCGTGTTTTCAATAAATTGTTAAATTATTTAATTGATAAGTTTGGTCTAGTCTGCTAAATGTTTAAAAGTAACCATTTATGTTTAATGTAGGTTAAGTCAACTACGGAAGCTTTTTCAGCTGTTTCACTACAATGAATAGAAATGTAACAGAAAAATCAGCAAGAAAATGCATGATTTGGTGCCCTGTATATTAAACAGTTAATTGTTACTTAAATAACAAGATTTATTTAGAGAATTTAAACACTTTTTCAGACGAAACATTTGATGATTTCCGGGCACTGATGAAGGAAGCAGCCGAAGCTGGTGAAGGGAGATATGCATTTTATGACGTTCTAAAACCAGACCAAGATGAGAAAGCACATGTAGGAGAAAAAGGAGATCTTGCTATGATAGTCTGGTATGTTTTTAGCTAGACTGTGGAAAGTATATGAATGTTTTTCAATAACCCTATCCAATAACTTGAGATGTTAAATTTTGTGTATTTGTTATACCCCCAAAAACGAAGTTTGGGGGGTATATAGGAGTCACCCGGTGGTCGGTCGGTCGGTCCAGACGTCCGTTGCATTTTCCTTGTCCGGAGCATAACTTGAAGACTAATGGTTGGAATTCAATATAACTACATACAATGGTCAAGCACATTGAGAGGAAGTGCAGTGCACAAGAACCATAACTCTATCTTGACAAATTACAGAGTTATTGCCCTTTGTTACTTTTCCTTGTCCGGGGCATAACTTGAAAACTACTGGTTGGAATTCAAAACAACTTCATACAAATGTCAAACACAATAAGGGGAAGTGCAGTGCACAAGAACCATAACTCTATCTAAAGTAATTACAGAGTTATTGCCCTTTGTTGCTTTTCCATTGCTTTTTTTTGTCCGGACCATAACTTGAAGACTAATAGTTTGAATTCAATATAACTACATACAATGGTCAAGCACATTGAGAGGAAGTGCAGTGCACAAGAACCATAACTCTATCTTGACTAATTACAGAGTTATTGCCCTTTGTTACTTTTCCTTGTCCGGGGCATAACTTGAAAACTACTGGTTGGAATTCAAAACAACTTCATACAATTGTCAAACACAATAAGGGGAAGTGCAGTGCACGAGAACCATAACTCTATCTAAAGTAATTACAGAGTTATTGCCCTTTGTTGCTTTTCCAATGCTTTTTTTTTTGTCCGGACCATAACTTGAAGACTAATAGTTTGAATTCAATATAACTACATACAATGGTCAAGCACATTGATAGGAAGTGCAGTGCATAAGAACCATAACTCTATCTTGACTAATTACAGAGTTATTGCCCTTTGTTACTTTTCCTTGTCCAGGGCATAACTTGAAAACTGCTGGTTGGAATTCAAAACAACTTCATACAATTGTCAAACACAATAAGGGGAAGTGCAATGCACAAGAACCATAACTCTATCTAAAGTAATTACAGAGTTATTGCCTTTGTTACTTTTCCATTGATTTTTTTGTCCGGACCATAACTTGAAGACTAATGGTTGGAATTCAATATAACTATATACAATTGTCAAGCACATTGATAGGAAGTGCAGTGCATAAGTACCATAACTCTATCTTGACTAATAACAGAGTTATTGCCCTTTGTTACTTTTCCTTGTCCAGAGCATAACTTGAAAACTACTGGTTGGAATTCAATACAACTTCATACATTTGTCAAGGACATTAAAAGGAAGTGCAGTGCATTAGAGCCATAACTCCATTTTGACAAAATACAGAATTACTGACCTTTGATACTTTTCCTTGTCAGGAGCATAACTTAAAACGTACTGGTTGTAATTCAAAATAACTTCATACAATGGTCAAGCACAATAAGAGGAAGTGCAGTGCACAAGAACTATAACTCATTCAGTATTTATAGAGTTATTGCCCTTTGTTCCTTTTCTTTGTCTTTCTGGACTTATTACAGAGTAATTCAATTAAACTTCATCAATGGCCAACCACATTGAAAGGAAATGCAACATATAAGAACCACAACTATCTTTAATTGCCCACATCCATAACTCTATATTTCAATTCTTTTACAAGGTCTTCTGTTACTAGTAACATCCTCATTTCCGAAGCAGTCTTGTGGGGGTATTAATCACATTTTGTGATAGTTCTAGTTTTGTCTGTTTTGTAAAATAAGTGATGAAACTAAGTTTGTGAAACTTTATAGTGCCATTGCCCATTTTGGGTATGACCATCCTAATGCATTACAACTGCTTTGAAGGGTATTCAAAAAGCCTAGAACTACTGTTAACATTATTTATCTCTCATATACCTTTTGGGGGAAAAATTGTGTTTAATTTTAATTATTTGATTAATATATATAGGTATTTACTGGCTAATAATGCTAAATCTAATTACAAATACAATGTATGGTACCTGAAAGTTACTTGATATTATCAAAGTGAGAAATCAAAACTACTGGTACATGTGCATGTATTTATTATTACAAGATCAGCCAACATACTTTTTAGGGCACCTTTGAAAACAGGCACTCATTTTAATAATTTTTAGAGATTTTTTAATTGGGCTCTAAGTAGGGAAGTGGTCAACACTGTTGAAAATGAGTGGGGCAAGGTAACATTTTTAGACATATTTCATAAATTATCATTTGGCTTATGTGGATTATTAGCTGAATGTTAATACTTGTGTATTATCAAAATTTAAAGGGAAAGCATTTTTCATAAGGATGATATTGTTGATTACTTAAAGGTTCCTTATTTCTGAAAAAAGGCCCGCTTCATCCAAGCTCAAGTCCAAAGGAATGGCCATAGCTCTATTTCATATGGTAAAAATTGTTTAATAGGTGTCTTTCAAGGTATATTCTGACCTATATTGTCAATTTTTCAGTTCCTTATAGTGTCCGTTAGGATGGTCTTACCTTCATTCAAAATGGAACTGTATTTGTAATGTATAAGATTTTAGGATTTTGGTCAAGTGATTCCAGGACAACTTTCTTCATAAAGTCAACATTAAAATGTTCTATCAATAAATGTTTAACAAAAATAAAACCGTCTCCCTATTTAAATAGGACATGTGTGTGGGTTTTTACTTTTTTCGCAAATTGCATTGGCAGTTGTAAAAGCAATTAAAAAGTGATACATGCTAATTTTTTTATTTATATTTCAGGTGCAGCGATGACAAATGTGCCATCAAGCAGAGAATGTTGTATTCAAGCTCAAAAGATGCACTAAAGAAGGCCTGTACTGGCTTTAAGAAAGAATTCCAAGTTAACGATTTGGCTGATCTTACTTTGGACGAATTGCAATCAAAATTTAAGAAATAAGATAGCCTTACTTGAGTTTCATATAGGCAATACCAGGAAGACTTTTTTCATTAATTTCTTAAATAAGATAGGTTATCAGTTTTGTTTTTAATTGTAAGCTATTATTTTGGCATCAAATGCTCTGAAGATATTGTTTCATAGAATAGAACTTAATAAGTGTTAAGATTTTAGTTTAATATACATGTTATGAAGTATATCATGCTATTATTTAAATGGAATTGTTCAATGTTAGATATTTGCCATCACATTTATATAGATATTCTTATTTGGTTAAGATGGGAACGAAAATGTGGAGATGTAACCATGTTTCATGACGATTTAAAGAAATTATTTTATAATATAAATCCTTTAATTTGGGACCAAAATAACAGGTTTTTTTTTGTGTGTGGAATGAAACCTTTTGGCAATGAAGATCAAATATTAAATGGTATTCAAGTTTATGCTTGAGCTGATATCACTGTTAAGTTTTCTCTCTTCGTGTTAGAACACTCGCAAATCTTTTGAAAGAAATAATTATGATTTGAAATCTCCATATATAGGGTTAGTTACACAATCAATTATTGTCAAAATTTATGACCATTACAATCTAAGATGGCATTCAAAACATATCCTTCCTGTTATCATTAAGATAGATCTAAAAAGATTTTTTTTTTTCAATGTTATTTTCATGCCCACTTTCTATCAACTTGAACTGTGATTGAATTTCAGATGTACAGGTGTCTAGGCATTACATTTTCGGCATTCAATTTCTAAAATCTTCATTTTTGGGGTTTCCAAAAATACATTCTGTATTTATGAAACATTCTTTCTTAATTAAATTTCTTTACCTTAAAAAACATGTCATGAAGTCAGGAATCTGCTTTATACACATTTCTACCAGAAAAAAGTATTCTTTCAACATTCCGAAAACTTTGTAAATGTATATACTTGATATGTTGCTTTCAACTGCCTGCACTAATTACTTGGATATTTCTTGACATTTTTTACATAATATAAATAAAGTGTAAAGTAAAAAAAAAATAAACTAGAAAATGTGTCAAATGTTATTTGTGTTTTAGAAAGACCTTTTTAATTGGTCCCATGACATAGGCTTTAGAAAATCAAAATTTTTCATTATTTTTTCATTTTTCATTAGCTCACCTGAGCTAGCTCAGGGTGAGTTTTTGGGATCGTTGAATGTCTCGTCCGTCCACATATGTTCGTTATCGCATGGTTTGGAACTTTTTCTTTGTTCTTACTAACCCATTATACTGGGTACACTTTCAATGAGCATTTGAAAACTGTATTGATATATAGCAGTACAAATTGTTCATTGATTCATATGGGGAAAAAGTTTTTTTCGCACCTTGTATATATCAGTTTTTTTCACTGAGACTGCAATGGGGCAACGGTAACGAACATTCCCAGTAGCAAATAGTATGAATTATTTCCACTGAAAAAGCTCTTAAATCTTGAATCCGAATAACTTGCTCAAGGTATCAGTTTACAATCCGACGTTGTTTTAAGTATACAATATTATATTATACATAGCTGTAAGGTAGCTTACGAAATCATTAGCTGGTTTTGTTTCGGGATGTTTCTGGAAAAAAAATTGTCTCTGCCTAACGGCTTCGACTTTTTTTTTTTTAGCAGAAAACACCATTTGATGTCGCCCAGCCAGTGTTATATCCTTGTAACTAACTCGTTTATATACTATAACTATTACTTAACACTCTAGTGGTCATATTTTTGACTCAATTGTCATCAAACTTGGTCAGGATGCTTTTCTAGGTAATTGCTCATGGATCATCTCGGATGAAAAACTAGGTCACAGGGTCTAAAAATAGAATAGTCTTGTTAACACTAGTCGCTACTATTTTGATCCAAATATCCTGGAAATTGGTCTGAAGTTTGTTTTGAGGATTTCTAGGTCAAGTTTGAGTATGGGTCACATGGGGTCAAAACTAGGTCAAACTGCTCAAATATGAAAAATCCTTGTTAACACTCTAGTGGTCACATTTTTGACTCACCTGTCATGAAACTTGGTCAGTATGCTTGTCTAGGCAATTGCTCGGATGAGTTCGATGGGTTAGGTGAGCGATCTAGGGCCATCTTGGCCCTCTTGTTTTAAAATGTCATGTGCATGTGTAAAAACAATATACCGGTAAAAACAAGTTTAAGATAACAATTCTGACCAATTATGTGTTGGATTGAGTGCTGAAATTCATAATACCACCGGATAAATGTCACAAGGACCAGCCACCTGCTGTCTATGTCCTAGCTATTTTCATTTTAGTTAAGTGTCTCTAGGAATTGGATGCATTTTCAGTTTCTACTAACATAGCATGCATTTTGAGTACATGTATATCTAACACCAAAAATTGGTATCTTTAATAAAATAATATATGTATTCCATGTATGTCCAAAGCCTGGTTTTTGTTTAAAACTTTAAATGATATTTGTTTCCATAATATTAACAATAATGTTAATTAGCTCGGTTAATTTGCTTGAAAAATCACCATCTATTTGATAAAAAGGACGCTTAAAAGTAGTATTGTCGACAATACTTATTAAACTTCTTTTTTCTTCTTTTTTAAATGAAGTACAAGTAACACAGTTTGTAGAAACCGTAAAATATTTCTCTTCACTTTATTAAAAAAAATAATAAGACTTTGAATGGCGTTCAGTTCACACGGGTACTTACGTGGTTTATAGAAATGTTCGCAAGTAAAATAATTTGTTTTCTGTAGTACACACGTATGATGATTAAACATCCATATACAGGTGGTGTTTCGATAATTTGAAGTAAAATATTAACTATTTTGTTTAAGGAAAAACGAAATAATTGTATGCAAGTTTGTACACTTTTCTTAGATATTTTTATGGGTTTTGATGTGCTCAGAGGAACGAACAACTAGCGGACAATCTCGTCATTGTTTGGACATTTTATTGGGAATCGAGAAACGAGGAAGAAGTCTATAAAACTCTTTATTTGCAACAAAATACAATGCAATACTGACTATCCGGTTTCGAAATGTATAAAACTATAAAAGTCTTCAAGTTACCTGGAATCACCAATATAGTCAAGATTAATACCGTCTGAATAATTTACCTGAACAAGGCCAACCAGGAATTGCTAGGCACCACCTAGAGCAAGAAGCATTGCTGTTACACTGGATGATATTTTTTACCATTTTAAATTCCAAATATGGTTTTAAATTTAAAAGAAATTGTCTGTTTTTGCTTTTTTGAGTCGCCATAACTGCAAACTGGATTCATGTCGTTGCAACATGCTGGTGACAGTCACTTGGAATCGACTAGTGAATTTAGTCTAGTTCAACTGCGCTTTCTACTTGTGATAATGATCTCTTGATGGGAATTTTTCGGGCCTCACGGTGTTGGAACGACTGTTTTGAGATAAGATTTGAGCCGCGTCATGACAAAACCAACATAGTGCGTTTGCGACCAGCATGGATCCAGACCAGCCTGCGCATCCCCGCAGTCTGATCAGGATCCATGCTGTTCACTTACAAACCCTATACAAGAAGAGAAACTGATAGCGAACAGCATGGATCCTGATCAGACTGCGCGGATGCGCAGGCTGGTCTGGATACATGCTGGTCGCAAACCCATTATGTTCGTTTTGTCGTGACGCGGCTCATTTATTATCAGCTGATACGTACGCTGGTAGGTTTATTCCAAATCAAATAGAAAATAAGACTGCTTTCAGGCAGACACATTAATTGTGGGCGACTAACGTCCTGACAACAGCAATCTGACTTATAAGTACAGATCTACATATGTAAATAGGAGCTAATTTTAATCAGATTGAACGGATAGTCACTACTTCCCCCAATGAAGCTCCTATCAGATAAACGTCAACTAAGATAAACTTTACTTGGTTAACGACCATATTAAACGAATGGCAGCAATTGATTAGTCAAACATATGCTTAAGCATCTGTAAGTATAAAATATTGTTATACATGTATAATGTTAGCGCTCTAAAGACTCCAAATCTTGGAAAAGTTTGATAAAATGCAAATGTTGTAATAGAGGAAAGCTAGTACTATCAATGCGCCGCAATTGCAAAATTTTCGTAATTTCTTGTCTCCAGTTGACACTTTGACTTTAGTAAATCTTTTACCTTTTGCCACTTTTCATTATATAAAGAAGGGGTGTCCGTGGACTAGTGGTTAACATCGATTACTTCAAACCTCGCCAACATCTTCGAAATCTTTCTTAGTGAGAAAGCTATCCAGCTAGCTTATGGAACTTTGGTCGTTCTACTCGGGTGCCCGTTTGTGCCTGAAATAATGCACAAAGGGACACCTGAGGTCTTCCTCCTCCAGTAAAGTGTTGTGCAGCCGAAAAATGATAAAATTCATTTATATAAAAAAAAAGAATAAATATGCATGATGATTTTCTTTTAACAGAAATATTTATATATATATATATATATATAATCATTTTCTAAAAGGTCATATTTTTAAAACAAAATTTGTGAAATTTCAAAAATACGTTACAAATAGTATATGTTTCAATAACAGATGTCAAACTTAAAATTATGTAACTGGAAGATTAAAATGCGGCTTTTCCTCTTTGTCCAATCAACTGTGCTAAAAGTTTTATAATGTATAGGTGATAAGGTCAATTAAGCTGTCTGTACTTATCATGTTGTTAAACCTTATGACTGATAAAATATCCAGGTGATGATTGTTGTTATAAATTCTATGTTGCTATGTTACATTATTTTGTATTGAAACCTGATTGGTCATTTTGTTATTTAAGACACAAAAAGGTTAAAATTCTATTGGTCAGTTAAAACGAAATCAATTTTAGAATTATTGTAAAGATATATGTAGAAAATTTAGAGCCAGTTAGATTTTGGATTTCCAAGTGATAACATTGTATTGTGGCTTTCCACTAGAAATATTTGTTACTGTTTTTGATATTAATTTGTAAACATCAGGATAACCTGTGTATATGTTATATATTATCTGTGGTATTCCACTAAGAAAGAAACATTAAAATATAAAACGGAACATTGTGTTGTGATACACTCCACCTTCAGTAGAACTACAAAATCAGCGCATAACACGTGGCGGGAATCAGTGTCTTTCCCAACCTCTCAATTTAGCAAGCGAGACTACGAATTCAAATTCCCCAAGAAGAACAACAATGAGTTTCACATATGGAATACCATTCAGAAGTGAAAAATCATGTGGACAATGTGGACTTTATCATTATCACAGACAGGAGAAGTGTTGTGCAAAAATGGCAAGATGTAACAAATGTAATAGAATTGGACATTTTGCACGAGTTTGTCTACGTCCAGCAGTTAGGCAAAAGTCAAACCACTCAAAACTACGCGATCAGGAACGCATGACAACTTTCATCAGACGCAAGACAGCCGAAAATACATTACCATTTTACAATGAAGACGATGCCTACTTTAAGAAGAACCAAACAAACAACTCTGTAAGTAATGTTTCAACAGCAGAATTTCAGAAGTTGAAATCATTGACCGATTCAATGACTAAAACTATTAACGGTTTAAAAGCAGAAAATATTGCCCTTGTTTTTAAAAATCAAAGACTTAAGGATTTTAATGAAAAACTACAGGATGAGGTTTCCATAAAGAAATTAGAAATAAGTCAACTTAAAGAAACATTTTTTCAAAACACCAACTCGCTAAAGGAAAAAATTCAGACTGACTCTTCAAAACTAGAGATAATGGACAAACTTATATTAGAATTTAAGAAACTAAATGACGACTATGAACAACTGAGATTGAAGCACAACCAGAAAGCCTATGAAATTATGATGATGGAATCAAGAAAGAACGATCAAATAGATGACTTGAAAGATGAAAACCACACCTTGAAAGATGAAATTGCCCAGTTGAAAGACAAAACTAAATATCTATGTCGAAAAAGAGGAAACAGAAATCAAGATCTTTCAAGTACATGCGAAACCGGGTTCCCACATGAATGGAGAGGTCAATATCATCATGGAAGACAACAAGGACAGAGGGGACAATACAACAGAAATAGACGTCATTAAGACTGTGTTGTTTACAATAAGACAGTGATTAGGATATTTATTATTAGTGAATGGTACTTACGCTTTTCAGCAAATCGGTGCTTTATATTCAAGTATATATTTCTGTAACTGAATATCTTATGTAAACAGTATTCTAATTCAATGATATTTATTTTTGTTATATTGTAATTATGGAGAAGTGTTGTGCAGCCGAAAAATGATAAAATTCATTTATATAAAAAAAAAGAATAAATATGCATGATGATTTTCTTTTACAGAAATATTTATATATATATATATATATATATATATATATATATATATATATATAATCATTTTCTAAAAGGTCATATTTTTAAAACAAAATTTGTGAAATTTCAAAAATACGTTACAAATAGTATATGTTTCAATAACAGATGTCAAACTTAAAATTATGTAACTGGAAGATTAAAATGCGGCTTTTCTCTTTGTCCAATCAACTGTGCTAAAAGTTTTATAATGTATAGGTGATAAGGTCAATTAAGCTGTCTGTACTTATCATGTTGTTAACCTTATGACTGATAAAATATCCAGGTGATGATTGTTGTTATAAATTCTATGTTGCTATGTTACATTATTTTGTATTGAAACCTGATTGGTCATTTTGTTATTTAAGACACAAAAAGGTTAAAATTCTATTGGTCAGTTAAAACGAAATCAATTTTAGAATTATTGTAAAGATATATGTAGAAAATTTAGAGCCAGTTAGATTTTGGATTTCCAAGTGATAACATTGTATTGTGGCTTTCCACTAGAAATATTTGTTACTGTTTTTGATATTAATTTGTAAACATCAGGATAACCTGTGTATATGTTATATATTATCTGTGGTATTTCACTAAGAAAGAAACATTAAAATATAAAACGGAACATAAATATGCATGATGATTTTCTTTTAACAGAAATATTTTATATATATATATATATATAATCATTTTCTAAAAGGTCATATTTTTAAAACAAAATTTGTGAAATTTCAAAAATACGTTACAAATAGTATATGTTTCAATAACAGATGTCAAACTTAAAATTATGTAACTGGAAGATTAAAATGCGGCTTTTCCTCTTTGTCCAATCAACTGTGCTAAAAGTTTTATAATGTATAGGTGATAAGGTCAATTAAGCTGTCTGTACTTATCATGTTGTTAAACCTTATGACTGATAAAATATCCAGGTGATGATTGTTGTTATAAATTCTATGTTGCTATGTTACATTATTTTGTATTGAAACCTGATTGGTCATTTTGTTATTTAAGACACAAAAAGGTTAAAATTCTATTGGTCAGTTAAAAGAAATCAATTTTAGAATTATTGTAAAGATATATGTAGAAAATTTAGAGTCAGTTAGATTTTGGATTTCCAAGTGATAACATTGTATTGTGGCTTTCCACTAGAAATATTTGTTACTGTTTTTGATATTAATTTGTAAACATCAGGATAACCTGTGTATATGTTATATATTATCTGTGGTATTCCACTAAGAAAGAAACATTAAAATATAAAACGGAACATTGTGTTGTGATACACTCCACCTTCAGTAGAACTACAAAATCAGCGCATAACAAAAGCTGGAAAGTCGCCATATGACCTACACTGGTGCGACGTAAATTCAAAGAAACAAACAAAATAATACAAAGAAGAACCAAAACAGGAAAGAAAAAGAAAGAAAAACACAAATTGACAAATAGCGACAATAAACATTCTCTATAGCAATTTAAGCGCTATTGAGTATTCCGACTGCCAAAGATGCGAATATATTACATGTAAATTAAACTTTACATGTCGCTAAAGTATCGTCTCCACTTTATCTATTTTGTATTTTTGAAAGAAGATCGACATAAGCATTGTAATGTAAATATCGTATGTCAATTAGCGACATTGCTTAAAACAGGACACCGTAATGATTTTCAAAGTAAATTTGCACTGATGGTCGCGTGTCAGCTTTTTTTTTGCGTGTCAGCTATTTTTTTACAGAAACGATATTAGACAAAAAATACCTTTCGGTTTCAAAGATGACAGCTTTTATTTACAAAAAAGAGGGGTGCGAGCACTTTCATCGTTAGAACCAGGAAAACATAACGCATAGGACGCCGGCAACTGCTGTTCCCTGTCTTATTAAATTTTAAGGTTGAACAAGATTATTATAGAGGGTTATATGCCAAACAGAAGACATCAGTTTGAACGTGCCAGATACCTGCCAGAATATGAGGACATACAAAAGCGCCATAAAATAGTTGTTAAAAATTCTTAAGAGGCTTAATAATTAAAACAATGGTAATTCATAGGGTGCAGATGCCCCCCATCTGCTGACGAACAGTCGAATACATGCAACTGATTGTGAGGACTATAAAAAGCCCACAAAGAATTGGTAAAAATTCTTAAGATATTTAATAAAACATTAATTTATTGTAAACTTGAAATGTGTACACGGAGATGTTCAAATGTCACTGTTTTGTGATTTTACAAAAAGGACAGTCACAGGCAAATTTATATCTCCCGCCACCATGAGGGAGCATCCAAGTGCAGAATAATGAATTATGAGAAAAGCAAGAAATTGTATTATAGTAATCACTTTACATCGTAATACTGAAAGAAAGTTTATGTATGATACCAATATTTAGTCTATATATTTAAGTGTCTTTATATACACTGCATGCATACTATATTTTGTGTAAAAGATAAATGTGATTTATTTTTGCATGGGGCTATAGGCCAAGAAAAAAAATAGATTTTGTCAATTGGCATTAAATTTATTCCGTTTAAGCCCTTTATTTGATTTTTTCCTGAAGCATTTTCTTTTTTCTGTGATGTTTTCTTTCCAAGTTATTTACAAAAATGAAACGCATGTTACATTGTATAGAAACATTATTTTCAAAGTTACGGAACGCTTCCTTGCAATAGAAGGAGGTTGGAAAAGGAGGAGAAGATTGATCTAATTAACACCGGCGTAGAAAAACGAAACAATTCAGTTTGCGACACGAAGAACATAATCTTCACAAAACATTTGTGTATTCATTACTTTATTATCTGTATTGGTTAATTTAATAAAATGGTGTTTTCTCTCCTTTGCAGTCATCAGGAATCAAAGTAAAGGAAGAATGTAAGGACAGATTTGATGAACTCAAGATAGGCCACAAACATAGTTATATCATCTATAAAATTGACAAGGATTTGAAAAATATAGAAGTAGACTGTGTTGGCGCCCTTGGTATGTTAAACTTTTTGTTTTACTGTTTGTATCACATATTTATGCTTATTTATTTAGTAAACTGTAATAACGTTCTGGAAAAAAAGTGAACAGGCCTCTGAGTTTATCCAGCGGTCGACATTCCGTGTGTTTCTTGGATATCCTGGTGGAACCCATTTATAATATTTATATAATTAGTGAGGCAAAAATCTTTTTAGAATAAATGATGAATAGATAACAAAACGTTTCTTGTGAGATACCCCTTAACTTTTCGTTTATTTAATCATATATTTATATAAATGATATATTGCAGGCGAGTCATACGATAGTTTCTGTGAAAAATTAATTGAAGCTGGTAATAACAAAGAAGGGCGATATGCTGTTATGGATTGCGAATATGCGAAGGGTAAAGCTAGCAAACTTGTCTTCATGATGTGGTAGGTATCCCTGTTGGTATAACATGTTCATTGTACTTGATAGTGTTAGAAAGGAGCATAAGAAGGTGCATTTATTATAAAGTTCAGAAAGTCTCAAGACTTATTGTTAACCGCTGTAAAGTTCATTGTTTTAGTTTATGAATAATTCTCGAAAATTCATACTGTCGAATTCAATAAAAAAAGAGTCAAAAACGTGAAAAAAATGTACATGTGTACGCATGGTACATTTATCTTTCTAAATTTTATTTAAGAAATTTCAGTGCTTTACTTATAAAACATTCTTTTCTGAATTATATCCGAATATATGAATATATTGTACAAGTAGTATATGCCATATTTTTCCATTTGAATGTCTTTAATGTCAAACAATGTAAAAGAAATTAGCTGTTTTACCAATTTTATAGCATTGATAAAAAAGAAAGAAAGGCATGGTTGTGGTATTACATATAAACACAGATGCTGATTTCTCTTATATGGTCAAATACTATATTTACTCTTTACAGGTGATAAATTTGATTACTTAAGTTTAGTTTGTCAGAGTGTGTATCTCATTAATACATATTATGTTTCAATTTTTGGATTCAACTTTTGTTGATCAATTAGCTGCCATTACTTCAAATTTGCATAGAGAAAAAAAAACATTTAAGAGGTCCCAAATTTGGCCCTGTGCGGAAATGCATTTCATATCAATACACATGCACATCAAAATAATTCGCATGATATTCTTAAAATAGTTAAACTATGACTATTCTGATCTTAATATTCTACAGGCCTTGCTTTTACAAAGATGAGGCTAGAATTTGAAACAAGACATTTGTCTAGCTTAATTGTCTTTAAAAAGGTTTGATCCCTAGTATTTAAGATTTAGCGCTAATATTCTGTGTGTTAAGATGGATTGAAAATAAAAGACCTAAACGTTATGAAAACGTATAGCTTTTGATTCCTTTATTCCCTGCAGTTTTGTATTTAAGAACAATGGTCTGACGTTATTCTTGCCTTGTATTTTAGGCTCCCTGACAACCAGTTGGGAATTAAACAAAAAATGAATCTACTCATCTAGCAAGAAAGCACTGAGAGACAAGCTTCAGGGGATCGGCAAGGAGATGCAGTGTACATGATACAAGACGATTTGGCTTGGTCTGCTCTTGTAGAAAAATGTCAAAGCAAATACGACTGAACAGTATGGCCAAAAAATACTAGTACATGTTGTGTTAAAGGTTATATGCAAAATCAATTTTTACATGAAACATAATCCATCCATTATTATGCTCATTTACATTAGGCTGAAACATATGCGGATGGGTGTAATTGTTATTGTAAGTTAAAATAGTAATTTCGATATATTTCCCATTGATCTGTGTAATGTGTATGAATATTTTAATGCCAATTTTTGTCTATATAAAGTTGTGTTACTTTAATTGAATTGTATCTGAATAAATTGTGAAGAACGTGATTTCGGTCATAATCAAAGCCTTCTGGCTTCTTTTCCATAAAAGGTATTGTAATTTACAAAATAAAATTTTTAAAAAAATCTCTGTTGGCCAAAATTTAAGTTTTTTTTTCATGCTGTCTTTTTAAATAATTTTTAAAGAGTTTTTTAATCGATTTTAACGATTAGAACGTTTTGCCATACAGTACCCACAACAGTTTCGCCGAAATGTTTTCTGTAACATTTTGATTATTCTGTATGTTTTTCAATATATAGCTTTGTTCTAGTCTGTGAGAAAAAGTAAAAGTAGATGCTTACATTTTTCGTTGATATGTACATGTGCATTTGAATAAATTTGGAAAGGAAGATTGATATGTGGTAATATTGTTGATGTTACCTTTTCTGTTTTTATTTGTTTTATTCAGGAATAAAGCCGATGATTTCTCTTGTTTGATATTTAATGCTGAATAATTGAAAACTGTAGAAAATTCCGACATGACAGGGGGAAAAACGGTCAATATTTCACTCCCTATTATTTTGGGTATTCCTTTCTTACCAATCTAACCTAGAAATTCTTTAATATGAAACGGAATTATGAACAGAAATTATGAAATGACTGCATTAGTAATGTTATTAATTACAACATATCATAGATTTTCCTGCCTCCGTGTATGTATCACTAAGCTTGCAAGCAAAGCTTTCCCGGTTGTTTATAAGTTCAATCGTCATTAAAATGTTTTGATTATAATGTTCAGGTACTAAGTTTGAAAGATCATGGTCACTTGCATGTTTTATGAAGAAAACTTGATTGATTTCCGTTTACGTTTTCATACTATATGTGCATGTAAATAGATGTTTACATATGTATCCAGGTCTTGGTTGGCATAATTATAGTATGTTATATTGCATTTTTACTTACCCTTTTAAGATGAAATTAGCATCTCAATAGTAGTTTCAATTGTGCTAAAAGAAAAAGCCCTCAGCTCGTACACAATTCCATAGTCGAAGGATCTAGCAATAAAGTAAAGACAAATTGAAATCAGTATACCATCAATTTTGTGGTTGTATAAAATTCTTTTTGTAAATTCCTTTTTTCCATGTTCTGATTTATAATGCAAGCTTGCTATAATTCGCCATAGTTAATGGCGAATGATCTTATAATGAGAAATGGAATTTCAGATTCTTTTAGCTTGGCTACTTTTGATTGATAAAACTTGGCTTTCTTAAGACGAGGTTGTGATATTATATCAGAAAGCAGCTCGCACTGGTTTACGTGTAATTAGATATTTCTGTGGTTGTAGTTTGGAATTGTTCGAATCACGGCATGTTTTTGCTACATCATTTAATATGATAAACAAAGAATGGACAATTATGTAATTTTTTGTTCAAATAAAAACTATAAAAAATCAAAATTTGTTTTCTTTTGTTAAATTTTATTTGGAAAATCGAGAGAATTGTAAACAATAATACGCGGTATATAGTTGAAATGTTGTATTTACGTAATCCAGGCTTATCCATGCATATAGCTTCGAAATGGCATGACTACGTACTGTCAATAGTCTGCTTCCTTTATCCATTTACCTATAATTATAACCATAGATAACAATAAATCCATAATTTCATTCTTAGAATAACTATACAGTAACTTGAGCAGTGGTAAACATATATAGAAAAAACACTAGAAACATATACATGTATAGCCATTCTTACGTTATTTCATGTTCTATACTATATAAACATTAAGTATTTCAATATTATAACACTGGACAATATATATGATACATATAAAAGACAGGGTATTTTATGATTGCTAATGTTTCTTTTATTTTAGGATGTTATATGCAGGTTTTTGGCACTTACAATTGCTATGTTTGCATTAATATAATGTAATCAACCTTAATTATCATATCGGTTAAATTTCATATGCAAAATTCATAAATCAAAAATGAATACATATTATGTATTGGTATTGAAATCAATACTTAGAGAAACAATTAGTGTACACTGGAAAGTTTTGGATTTGAAATAGCGCGAATGAGGAATACGAAATGTGTGCGTGTGTGCGGCGTGTATTTTATTAAAGTAAAATAACGATTCAGGATACTAAGGATTTCCTAAGTAGTTGCAAAAAATAAAGACTTATTTCCGTTTGTGCTTTTGTTTGCTCGCAAATATAAACGGAAGTACGGTTGATGAGGGGTATAACAAAGAAAATAAATTTATTCATTTATGTCCCTGCAATATACACATAATATACATGTATTTAACTATAAGCATGTCAAATTACAGAATGGAGAAGCACTCCTGTCAAAAAAGACTTGATCACAAGTCACATGGGTTACCAGTATGACGGAAACGATCGAAAGTTATTTTATTTTATTTGTAATTGTTTCAATGTTGAAAATAGCTTCATTATTTATAAATTTATTCCTCCCTCCCCTTTTTAATTAACAATACGCGTTTTATCATATCATTACTGAAAGACTTTGAGAGGTCATTTATAAATGAAGGGGAATTTAAAAGACAGCTGTTTGAACTTTAGCTACTTTTCATTAACTCGTCATTGGTGTAAATGGAAATGGTCAATATAAGGCGGAGATATGATTTGTTTCAAGATGGTTGCCCTCTGAAATCTGGAGTGCAGTAAATATTGTCCTTGACATCTTTATCTATAACGTAGTTGACTTTTATATGTTCGTGAAGTGAGCCGGACAGCGGAACAGCCGGATCAGCCGGAAAATCATTTCGTCTACTCGGGCTACTCCGGCTAGCGGAATCCGGTTCCGGCTATACAGCGCTGGCCGAAAATTATACCGGTAAAACCTGTGCAAAAGACGATTGCTAATTCCATAATGTAATGTCAAATTACTTATCACAAACAATCTCCCGCTATTTAGGCTAGCCAGAAAAAAAACAGAAATCAGCTACATAAGATCGAAAAAATCTTATCTGACAGCAGATGAACAATATAATTAGTGTCCGTGCATTGTTCGTCCGGGTGTCGCGGGTCA